GCAGGGGGGGGGGGACAATTGATTGGAGCCAGGTATTTCCTAACTGGGTGATTTTCATCCTCTCTCAAACCAGTGCAGGGTGTAGACTCAACCACAACAATCTGCAAATTGTTGTAAAGTGTTCCTGTTGGTGTGAACAAAATAGCAGGAACACCAGTAAAATGCAATCAAACATAACATTACAAAGCATTCTCCATTGAGCTGATGCTTTTGTCCAGAGCAACTTACAATAAGTCCATTCAAACTTAATGGGAACAAGAGCGAGTTATCATCAAAAAAAACTGCATCCCACCCAAACAAAGAGCGTGTTAAGTGACAGAGTAGTGAGCTGACACTTAGGGGGGCGTGATGGAGGTCAAATACCAGGCGGGCGACGGCATGCTTTATGAGCTGCAGAGGTCTGGTGGTGGACAGAGAGACTTCAGCAAGGGAGGAGTTGCAGTAACAGAGGCAGGAGGTGACAAGCAACTGAATGAGCCCTAGGCTATCTCTCTGGTGAGGGAGGAGCAAATAGTCCTGATATTATACAGGAAGAATATACAGGAACAGATGACTGCTGCTCAAACCCTGCTCTTAAAAATGACATTATAGTGAAAACCTCTCAGACACAGTCTCAAACAGCTTAACACAATAAGAATCACACATTTGGGTATTGATTGAAGATGTATTCATATTACTTACTTTAGTAGAAGTAGCAACACCACACTATGATACAAGTCTTGCATTAAAAAAAAAACCTCAAGTAATAAGTATTATCAGCATAATATACTTAAATTAGCTGAAGTAAAAGTATTCATTATACAACATAGTCCCTGTCAGTATTATGTTATTACATTACTGTGATTATATGTTAGCAATACTTTAATGTTGTAGAAGGCAGCGAAAACAGTGACTGCTTTATATACTGCTGAGTAGTTTAATCTACAGATTGTATTTATTTTGCTTGTTAAATCTTAATCTGCAACTAGTAACAAGAGCTGTTAAATAGATACAGCCAAACAGGTTCACTTATCAGTTCAAGATAAGAAACTATAAAAAGAAAACTACAAATATCTTATCTTCATTCATATTATCAATAACAAACACACTCTTTCTGCATGCATGTTTGTGGCTAAAACCCGGCATACCGTGGGTTTATTATTAAGGAACAGTTGTTTTATTAAGTATAAGTAACCACAGTTAAAAGACATAAAGCTCAGCTCAGTTAACTTCAATCAATGTTAGCTCTCCATTAGCAGGAGAGCCAGTAAAGCTAGTTTACTTCAGTGTTTTAATTAGTTAATATACGGAAGGCCAATTAATACAGCTAGCCTGCTTGATAACTGACGGCTCAGTTGTACCGTTACACTTTAATATTGAGAACCATGACCTCCATTAATCAACTTACCAACCAATCAGTCAGTAATAATGTGGAGTCATTAATGAACGAAGCCCCCCACAGTGAAACGTTGTGCAGCTAACTAGCCAGTTAGCCAGAAAGCTAAACCTCAGTGACGTTCGCTACTTACGCATCGATAGTCTTCTGAACCTGTATTAAAGAACACGCAGCGTGAATCGTTACTCATTGGCTTTGGGTTTTCACTGTCCATTTTTAGTCACAGTGATTTTGAGATAATTTCGTTCCAATGTGTTTTTGTTTTGCTGTAGCTTTTCTAGTACTTCCTGTTTCTACGGCGCGCTCAGAGGGACAAACAGTGCCGCTGACCGCTCCGACTCATCGACAGTATACTTTGACTTGTCCATTAAAACTGTACGATGTTTACAGTGCATCTCTGTTGTCCTTCGCTTGGTTGACAGTAAACAGCACTTTAGGAGTGAGTAATGTCCCATCCCGTATTTGTAGGGGGGTTTAAGTGTATTTCAGTCAGTAGAGTACTGTCAATATTTGTGGTATTTAAGCTATACTTTAAATAGGTATTTCCTTTTTCTAATACTTTATACTTATACTTCACTACAGCTCAAAGGGGGATATTACCACTCCACTACATTTTCCAACTATGATACCTGTAGTTCTTTATTTTGTAAATTAAAATTTTACATACAACATATGTAAAGTCTATAAAACATGATGTATTGTTACATGTTAAAAAGTATGTGTGGCTGAATTTAGTTTTACTTCCACCAGTTGTAACAGTAAATTCCTCTCACGTGTCAATGCATCAGTAACACTTTTATTGTTGATACTTTAATTATTTGTGCAAATCATGATTACCTACCTTACATTTTGCATGCACAACCTTTACTTGTAAGGTGGTATTTTTACACTTTGGTATTGTATTCAAATAAAGGAATGCTTCTTCCACCACTGATATCAGGAAATCAACTTTCCTGTGAAACACTGGTCAGAACTGTAAAAATCCTTGTGTTTACAGCTCTCATTATAGCTCTCATTATTAGAAATACTAATAAAATGGCCTCATGATAGCCTCAGGAAGAAGTTCTGTGGCATCCTTGGTAGATTACACCAATAGTGTTTTGAGACTGATACTACACATGGGATGGTTGGAGCACTTTAGTGATAGCCTCTGGCATTTCCCTTTAGGTTAAAGATAAGGTTATCTCAGTGGATGTTTTAGAAAACAGCAAACTCATTTACAGTCAGATGCAGAAAGACATTTCCCTTGGTTCTAAATGTGGACAGCCTCGGCTGCACTGCCTGTAAACAGCCTGAATCAAAAAAGAAAGAATTTTCAAGGTGTGTCTCCTTAGACAACATGTTTGAGGAGCTTTACTCCTTTTGTAAGACTTTATCTGAATTTCCAACAGTTTGTTTTATGTGTATCTGAAAAGAGACGGACAGGAAAATATTCAGATTAATTAATTTAGTTAAGTTATTGGTCATAGTATTGACTGAAAGTTGTCACAATTGTTCACAGAATGGATCCTATTTTTTTCAACAACAATTATCTGCAGAAATCTTACATACAACTGTGCTATTAGCATTTTGAAGTATAAGTGTATAATATTAGGCTACATCTAACATCAACAACATAGTGTGATGTGTCTGCACTGGCATGTGCAGTGAGGTCTGTTAAAGGCACTTACTGTTCCTCTGCTAGTGTCTTTTCATTGAGAAGAGACAAATTAACATCATCAAAAAGAGATTTTTGCATGCGCAGTCCTCGTTGTGTGTGTTTGTGTGTGTGTGTGTGTGTGTGTGTGTGTGTAAGCGAAAGAGAGAGAAAAAGAGAGAAAGAGAGAAAGAGAAAGAGAATGACAGTGGAAAGTGGGTGTACACCCTATTGACCTATTGTGACACTGAAACTCCAGCTGCACCCAATTCCCTCAGTGCCCTTTGAGGCTGTCACTGTCAGTTACTCAAACAACAATGAAGGAAATATGTTATTTCTGTTTTTTCCTGCTGGCACGGTAACACAATAAGTCCCTGTGTGTGCATATATCTTATTCTAAATCTATAAAAATGTTTTTAAAAAAAGAAAGAAAGTATATATATAGAATACTTGTAATTGTCATATGTATCCCCAGACTGCAGGATAATATTTTAAACTGATTCTGCACTGTATGCTGGGAAATATCCCCTTCAGATAGACAGATAGATAGATAGA